GGCTGGCCTTCAAGTTGAGCTTGTCAAGCCTTATCTTCTCAAGAACCAGTAGCAGTCACGTCTCAAATTGCGGTTTCCTTTTGCTGTTCCTCTTACACAGCTGCAAAAAGGGCACCGCCAAAAAGACACACCCGTATGGGTTTTTGGCCCTTAGGACAGCCTGCTATAGATTTAGGCTCCAGACTCCCCCGACCAGCGGGGCAGGGCCCAAAATTGCCCAAATATGGTTGCTTCCTGAAAGCCATTGTTCGAGTGAAAATGCTCCATGGTGCGCCAGAAATCCGCTGCTTTCCCCAGACCCCCAGTGCCACGGGAAAAAGGGGCCACTCTTTCTTTACTAGCTCAAGGGGTTACTGCTTCTCCATTTTCCACACTCATGACGCCTTCTCCACTGGTGACATCGGCCGCTTTGAACTGACTAAGACACACCTTTTGGATGATCAATTCTAAGGCTACCCCCAACATTGCTGCTTTGGATTGGTGGTTTGGAGCTTAAGTTTCCTATCTACCCCACAAGAACCACGGGTTCAAATCCCAAACCAATCCAAACCAAATATAAAGTGGAACCTGAACATTTAGATCCAAGAACCTGCTCCACCAAGGCGAGCCAAGCGTCCAAAACATCCATACCTTCGCCTGAGCTTCCCGACTGCCCCCGGGCACATCCAGCAAAGGCCCGTCCTGCGATTGCCCCAAGGATGGTGACGTGCCGAAGTCATGCTTTTGCAAGGCTCAACTATGGAGACGAAGGTGTCACGGACACGCTGCAAACAGTGCTTATATGTCCTGTCATCTACTTGGGCCGAGTAATTTGGACATTCCTGTCATCTACTTGGGCTGTGCAATTTGGACATGCAAATGACACAGAAGTGAATACGCATAGCCATCTGCAACTCTCCTTTTCTTTTAAGTTTACGCAGCCGGCACCGTTGCAGGCGGCAGAACCAAGATCAGCTTTGTCTTAGTCAGACTCGCAAACCACAGGGCTTCGCCCACTTCTTCTCTTTGCGCGTTTCAGGAGAGCTGAGCAATGGCGACTCTTCGTTGTGATGTTCCAAGACTTCATGAGCTATGATTGCACCTTGGATGCAGCAAGGAAACCAACAAACAGCAGAGGGTAGGACACACACAAAGTGGTGGTCCCTTTTTCCCCCATTGTAATCACCTTTCATAAGGAGACCCCCAAAAGAACCACACACCCATGGATCTTCCGTCCTCGCACAGATTGATGCTGTACCTGGAGAGCCCGACGATGCAACGGCCCCCGCAAGGAACCCATCGGTCATTGGGTTTAACGCCCACTTTCCGCACAGGAAATCCCACGTGTTTCCCCAAACAGCTCTGTAAATGGCTGGTGTGCAAAGGTACCCAACGAATGTAAGATCTTAGTAGTGGGCTCCTTCGGTGCCCAAGAGTTGGCTGAGCCAAACTCCTGTGACACCCCAGACCCTCTGCCAGGGTTTTGAACCATGTTGCCGAGCCCCAGGCCCAAGTTGTCGCGACTCACTGAGTCCCTGACTTGCAGCTGTCCAGTTCTGCCGGCCCAACCTAGCGACATCTTCAGCTGAGAGGTTTGCACTTCAAACAAGACTTGTTTTGTGTTGCTTCTTCCTCTTGTACTTTTGCGATCCTGGCGCTCATGTCGGCTGTTCCGATTGAACACGCGCTCCACTGAAACTGAGTTGAGCGTTCCGGAGCTGACAGGCATGCAGCATTGTCCCCATACAAAGTCTATGTTTCCTGTTCCTCCAAATTGGCCTTCCAAGCATCACAAAAAATGGAACAAGCCCTCTCTTGGTCCCATATCTAATGCATGTAATGTATGCAACGTATGTAGTGTGTGTGTGTGTAGTGTGTGCAATGCGTGTAGTGTGTGCAATGTGTGCGTGTTTGCCTTCAGCATGTTGGTGGCTTTCCCCGAAGTTGCTGTCAGCCTCCTTCAGCATAGGAGGTGGGGTGTGGCGGACATTCCATTTCCTCCCGAGGTTGATTCGCTTCATTTTTCTTGGACACACGTTGGCCCCAAAAAGCGCCGGAGTCCTCGTGAAGGGCATCCCTTTTCCCCGAAGGGCTCCAATGCAGTCGGCAAAAATGAACGAAGACCCCTCCTTGGTTGCCACACATCGCACGGTGCCTCAACTTTTTTCAGCGCCTCGGACTCGCAAAAGCGAAAGGCTGGGCGCCCCCACGCAGGCTTGCAGAGGCAGGCAGCCCTCCAATCGGCCCAAGGTGCTGCAGTCGCCGGTGAAGGTGCAAAACACCTGGCCAGTGAGACTAATTAGGTCCTCCAGCAGAGAGGCTAGAATAAGGGTACCCTTTTTGCTTCTGTAGTCTATTTTAGCAGGGGAACCCTTCCCCCAAGAAAGTGTAAAAGGACAGGACTGGGGGACCTAGGAGACATAAGCCTGGGACTACAGTGGTCTTCCCAAAACCACAGTATGAAGAGGTGAAGGAGCGGGTAGGAGCGGCCGCGCCCATTGGTTGGGACCCGGGTAATGAATTGTGGCACAGGTGTCTTTACAAAAAGCAGATGCCCCCTGGTCAACATGGAACCCACACATCATACCTTCAGGAATCTCCTCAAATGGGCAACCCCATACCAAAGGGTTGACCGAAATGGCCTGGCAAAAATGGCTGTCCATTTGAAAATGAGATGGAGGGGCATGCAGATGCAGCGTGACACTGAGCATGTTTAGGGAGAACACCGCTCATACATGACTTGGCCAGTTTTAATTCTCGTGCGTGTTCCCCACTGACAAACAGCGTCTCAGTTGTAGTGAAAACGTCCTAAATGTTCCATGTTCGAAGGACCACATGCTCGCATGAGATAGCTGGAGCTGCATCCTCTTCGGCTGTCACTGGACGGATCTTGGCGTTCAGTGAGCTCAAACTTCAAATATCTGATGGCTACCCGTGTCAACCAGGAAAAACATGGCCAAGTAATATCGCGAAGCAATCATGTGGTAGCGTAACAACGCGATACCGAAATCTACACTGGGGAGTGGAAGTAGAGAGCGGACTGTGTGGAAGCCGCAGTGATGAACTACTTTATGTCACATCGGCTGCGACAGCTACATTGTAGCAGTCGGCAAACCCACTGAGCCAACAAACTTTTAGCCAACAAAACTTTGAAGACAGCCCGGGTTTCTTCGCCCAAGAACGGCCAATGCCGCACTAGCGCTGACATGCGGATTTGCTTCATTTTTGAGCGGCTCGCCTGGAAATAAAGCAAGACAAGCAAAATAAGCAAGCAACTCGAGACACACCATCAAACTCGCAAATACAGCATTTCTGAGCGCCGGCCATGTCTTTCAGACCTTGAACGTCCACTTCCGCCAGTTGACCATCAAGCACGGCCCTCCACAAACTTCTGTTTGCTTGGGATCCTTCGTTTTTGGGAGGTTCGTTTCGCTCACCCCATCCTCAGCACACCTTTGGTGCCTCGAACTAAAACTCACATGGTGCTTTGCATCGTTGCTGGCTGGGGAGCTGAGTTCAACAGCTTGCAAGCTGACAAACAAGAGAGCTGGCAGAAGCAGGCCATGAGGGGCAACTCGCACATAACAACGGCGGGAGACGTGCCCAAATGCCAATTCACCAGAGAAGACTTTCCTGAATTATTCTTGAAGGAAAGGGACATTCAACTCATGGTTCTAGGGTTGAGTCCCCGTTCTTTTCAACCAATATTTTTCCCCAACAGCTGAAAGCTTTAGTGTCTCAGCCCAGATAGGCTCCGGGGTGGTCCGGGGCGGCCCTGAGGCAAGGTTGCACGAGGGTTCCACCAGAGTTCCACCAGGGTTCCACCAGGGTTCCACCAGGGTTCCACTAGGGTTCCACGAGGGTTCCACGAGGTTCTGCGAGGGCTGCGGGGTGGCGCGAGCACTAAAAAGAGCACCGCATCCCCAACAATCACCTGAGCTTGTTAACACAGCCCTTTTCCATGGTTGTGCTGTGGATTTCTGAAAAGAAAGATTCCTGGAAAAAGGAAGATGACTTTCTTGGGCTTCCCCGATTTGTGTGTGTGTGTGTTTGCGTCAAATCCGGATTTGGACCCAAGATGGGTGGGTTTTACTTTTGGTTTCGCTTGAAACCAAGATAAGTGCTCCAAAAACACATACTTACCAATTTGCGGGTTTCTCAAAAGGGCGGACTCCTCTTGCTTGGCGCTTAAAGGCCCAAAAGGCAAACCACCCATTTCTTGGCGTTCCCTTTGACACATACCCATTTAGAGCACCCACTTCCAAGTGCATGCGCCCTGCCTCCGGCGTGCCTGCAAACTTCTCAGCGCAGGCCAGCGTGCCGTTCTGGCGGTCGACGCGAACTGGAATTGGGGGCCAGTGATGCCACCATGTGTCACCCTCACGCCCACAAAAAAGAACACACATTTCGGCTCATACCCTTCGCAACGGCACACCTCAACGTAGCCCTCTCCTTTCCCCAAACGAGACCCAATTGGGCCCGTGATGGGGTGACCCACCAATTGCCCAAAGAACAACCAGACCCGCTGCGCTCCACGTTGAAGAAACCAAAAGGGAGGGCTTATTTGACAATGGCGATAGACATAAAATGCTTAAACAAACAATAACAAAAAACTACATAATAACATCGACAACAAACAAAACAGAATGCTCAACATAACGTCAAATTGATGAAATCAAAACATCAACTTATGAATGACACACGGATTGGTATTTAAGGTCCATAAATCAAAGATTGTCCGACGCCGAGTCCCAAAGACTTCAAGAAACTGCGCTCCAAGGTCGAATCACTTGGCTCAGATGGCGTCGTGAGTTAGTCCTTTTGCCACCTTTCCGAAGTCACAGTTAGTTTAGGCGGACAAGGACAGCCCTGCAGCTGAGAATAATTGTGTGCATTTGTTGGGTACCTCTTGCTTTACAGGGACACCAGGATTTAAAAGAAACTACTCGATGTGTTGGGTTTCCCCATTTAGCACACACCCAAAGCTTCCCATGGCTTCCCGAGCATTGAGACCAAGCCGAACACTCGGCGTTGCAGACTGCAATGTCAATATGGTGCTTCGTCTTTTTTAGGAATCGGACCCCCAAAATGGCGCCTCGGCTTTCCCTCTAGTTTCCCCGCAAAACAACCCCCCGAGCGTCAAAAAAGCAAGCCACCCACATGGCTTCTGTGGTTCCAGTGACCCTCACCTTTTGCAGTTTGAAACCAGCAACAACATTGGATATGTGTCGAGCATGACATGTTTCTTGGGAACCCAAAAGGGAAACCAAAAAAGGAGCCAACCATCTCAAGGGTCCAATGGGAACCCTGGATTGAGAAGCCTCTCTTTTATCTTAGTGTGGGTGGTCCCTGGGCTTGGTGGGGATTTCGGGGCAGCGGCTCAACACAGAATCCGCCAGCCCCATCTGCCTCTTCCTCCTCATATCCGGCCGTGAGAGGCACAGGATTGGGGCAGCTGGGAACGATGCAGCTTGGCAGCGTGTAGATCAGCTCCTGCGACTCGGGACACACTTGGACAAACGAACAAGCGGGGATACGGAAAGAGCGGGGATATGGATGGGGGGATTCCCTTGGCGCCATTTCCCATATTCAACTCAGTCAAGGTGCATTTGGTGAGTCCTTCCCTGTACCGCTGCTAGTTGGTTTCCCTGACACAAATCAAACGAAAGCAAACAACTAAAACGAAAGTCATACCCTGTTGACTCAATAGTTGGTTTTTGAAGGGTGCCCCTTGGCTAAGGAAATTGGACATGGGATAGCGGAATACATAAATTCGAGCACCAGTTCGGAGCGATGAAGCCCTACAAGCGGGATAAACCACCTACTTGGCGCGTGTTGCTTTGATTTTGCGCATCCCAGCGCTGGTTTTTGTCCGGGCTCGCAACATCCCCGGCATTTGTGCGTTCCGGGCTCGGGGCAAAAGACTGTGTCTTCAATTTTCTGCGGGGGCCGTTTGGCACATTGGCCCATCCCCATCACCAACCACAGGCTCCGAGGGGTGGCAGTTGGTCGCTCGGGGCTGGTTTCGTTTTTCTTTCGGGGGAGAATTGGGCTTAGATCTTCAGGGCGGGTCTTGGGCTGGTGGGTTGATTTAGGCTCAGCAAGGGGCTGACGTCCAGGCTGCTGTTGGGCGTGTTTAGGGTTGACTTTGGCTGACTATTTCGTCTCCCTGTAAACGAACCACAAAAATGTCAGCTTCCCTGCAGTTGGTGACTTGGATTGGTGAGTTGGAGGTTAGGGCGTGGTTCCCCATCCACCCTCTACAAGAAGGGATTCGAATCCAAATCCTCGCACCAATTGGGGCCAACCTGAAGGATTGAACCCCTGAGTTTCCTTTTCGCCTTCTGAACCAGCTTCAAAAAGCACCCCCTCAAAAACACAAGCAGAAGCTGTCAACTCTTTGAGAGCACTCTTTTTTGTGTGGTTTTCAAATTCAAAAGAGGAACCACCACTGTGTTCTCCTCGTTGTTTTTGTTCTTTTGGGAGGGGGTTGGGGGTGGTCGGTACGAAAAGACGAGCTTCAGCTCGCCTGGGCGGGGTCCGTGTTGAGCTCAGGGCAGCTGGCCAGCGCTGAATCGCCCTCCGCCGGCGCGCGGCACCGGATCTCGCCTCAGGAAGCGGCCGAGAAAGCGGCCGGGGGGGGCGATTGGCTAAGCCCAGGCCTTACCTTCACTCAGACTAACAGCCGGAAAGCTCCCAGAAGGCCGATCCTGTAAATGGAAAAGTCCTTTTCCAAAGGGGTCCGTTCGGGAGCTTCCATGGAATCGGCTGGGGGAATACTGGCCGAATGCTTCAAGCAGTATCAATATTGGCTAAATGAGAAGCCCTTAAATTATTCAAGGGGCTATTCCGGTATTGCTACTGGCCGGGGGCTATAGCCGCATTCTTCAACCAGTATCAAAGTACTTTTCAAGTGGGCGAAAGAGAACTGCAAGAATGACCCCAGTAAGACCTTTACCCATCGCCCCTGGGAGATTCGCCTCACCAACTATCAGCTTCCCTCGCACAATTGCTTGGATTGGCGGTGTTTTTTTAGCTGAAGTTTCTCATTCACCCAAGCCGGTTCAAACCGATCCAGACGGCCAATCCAAACCAAACCCAACCAACCAACCCAACACAACCCGCCCAGCCACCAGATCCCCAAACCACCAATCCAAACTACGAAGGGTTCCCTGACAGTCTAGAGGGAAGCTCAGACACTAGAGGCCATGAAGCACCTCGAGTGGTCCAAACAACAGCAAACTTGGCAGCCCCAGGCTGCAGATCCTGATCGAGCTGTGCACACTGGCCCGTTTCGGTCTCTCTGTTTTTGTTGGAACACTTCTGTTCTTTTTACCTTTTGAGAAGTGGAGAGAACCTCGAGTTTTGCCAACAAACAACAGCACAATGGCACCCCCTTGCCTCCAGATCCTGAGCTGTACCGACCAAGTTAAGTTAAATTATAAATGACATCTAAACAGCATCCAATTTGGCAAGAGGTCGTATTTGTTCGTTCTAACACAAGAAATCTGTCCGTATTCAATTCCATTTGAATCCTTTAATGTTGTATGTGGATTCCAATATTCCAATTGAACCCACATTTAGGCTCCTATACGTAAGTTTTAAAACATACACCTTGCAAATCACTACTGAAATTGCACGCTCCTTTGGTGTTTGCTGGTTTCTCACTCCTTCAAAGGGGCAGGGCAGTTGGAAGCAACAACAATACGTGTTTTCCTTATTTAATTCCACACAAATTCTAGTCAAACTTGAAGTCAAATGACACTTGGAAAGGAATAACTGTATTTTTCCTTATCAGCATTCTCTGGAAGTTCTAATTCCACTGACATCAAACTCCTGTGTGGAAAGGAGTCTCTATTTAGTGACAATTCAACTTCTAATCGGGGTTTACTTTTTAGAGAACCCCTGTCATGCCATTCAATCAGTTGATCCTTCCAAGCTGTGCCCAAAGTAAATTCCAGACCTGATTTTGCATTCCAGGTCAGCTATTCTGGAGGTGTTCAGTGGTTGATCTTACATTCCACACCTGGGTTTTATCCTTAAACAGCACTTGGGTGTGTCGCCCTTTGAAAACAGGGAACCACACGCTAGTCGTGTTTACTATGTGTTTGTTTTCCTAGGTCTGGATTTGTCTTAGGGCTGACAGCCGCCTAAGTAAAGGATGGAGCTTTCCGGGTTGCTGAGTTTAGGGTTGGCTTTGGGTGGGTTTGGGATCGACTTGGAGCTAGGTGTGCCTCTGTTGCTCTAGGGATGAGGTTAGCTGAGTGTTGGGCCAACATGATAGTTCGGTGGTTTGGGGCAAAGCTCGAAAAGCAATCCAATCAACCAGCCAGGCAACCAAACCTAAGAAAACAGGGGACCTACTGTGGATGGCAGAAACGTGTTGGAACCAGTTATGGATGAAACTGATGAAACTCATACAGCCCTATGAATACTGGGAGAAACCATCTACCAACTGGTGCGAAATGGATTTCGTCCATCCACAGCAGTAAACCAAAAGCACCAGCTGGGTGTGTTTTTTTGGGGTGCTCCCACCCCCCCCCGAAAAAAGAAGAAGAAGAACAAACAAAGAAAGAAGGTGGGTGTCCTTTCGGTTTTCTTCAAACCAACAGCAAAAAGAAGTACCACACACAAAACAAAACAAAAACACCAGATCTCACTCGCCCACTGGGCTTCCGACAGGTCTCGCCACCCAGAACTCCCGAGCATCCTGACGGCAGCTGTGGCGTGTGGGTCTGATGGTTTCCCGGTTTTTTGGCTGTGGTTTTGTTCCCCAGACGACCAATTTTGGCATCTCTCATATGCTTGGACATGGAAAGTTGGGTTCCTTTCTCGTCCCCGAGCCAGTGATACCAATGATCTCGTCTACTGCGATTGGGAATGAAGGGCGTAAGCATTTGGTTTGCACCGTGGCTCGGTGGGTTGTTTCACCGTTTGCTGCTTCTGAGCGTTCAGTTAAAAAGCGGTTTGGTCTAACTGGCCGTTTGATCAAACAGCTTTTGTTAGCAAGATATATACAGCCTGGTGCAGCTTTGATCGGACTGCGTTTCTCCTTGCACAAGCCGCACAAACATACAACCACAACATGATCATTGCGTCAAGCAGACAACTTTTGGAAGTCCTCTGGACGACCGTTTGCGCAACCCGGGAATTATGATGCTTTCTTGGTTCGACTCGAAATTCTGACATGGATTGGCGAAACAAGAAGTCCGCACGGATTGTTTCCCACTTGCACGATGTTGCCAAAAAGGCTCAAAGCCAGAATCCTGGCAAGAGAGTAAGCCGTATTTGCAGTAGATCGGGCGCTTCTCCGTGCTAAATACCCCCGAGAAGAACGTTAAACCAGTCCAAAAATTGCTAAGCTGTTTAGTTGAAGCAGGCACAGGGAAATGTGGGTGTCGTGTCTAGGGCTCCAAACATGGTTATTGTGTTCTTGTTTTTCCCTGAAAACTTGAAAACCAGCCAAAACTTTGCTACCCTCCAAAAATACGCACGCAGATGGAAGACAGCTCCAGTCACCCATCTCGACGATGGGTCGCCTACTGCTTCATAGCGGCAGCTGTCCATCTGCAGGGCTTGGCAGGGCTGTTGCCTGCGAGCGGAAGCAACATGGCGTGGGGTTGTCAAAAATGAGTATACTTCCAAAAGATGTCTTAGCACTTGTGGGCCCGGAAACTCGGTCACTGAGACGCACATGACACAAGGTCAATAAAACTCCCATGTCTCCAGGGAGTATATCCGCTTTGGGCCATGGATTTATGCGGGGCCCGCAAATATGCGTGGCCCGATAAAAAAAGGGGTCCAACAAGGGGTCCGAATATTTTTGACCCATGTGTGAACATACTGTGGATGGTCGCGAAATTCTAAGACCAAGGTCACTACCCCCAAAACACTACCCCCAAAAGCCCACATTTTGTGCTCCAGGGGACCTTTCAAACTGCTTGATGTTTGCAATTATTTGCCTGCAGCTGCGTGGCCCCTAGAATGGTGAGTCCCTACCAGCACAGTTCTTCAGAATGTCTGAGCCTGGGGCCCGTCTACCTCGTGGCTAAAAGTGGTGAACTTTTGTGGTCGATTGTCCCGGTATTCGAAAAGCAGTTTTGGGACTGTTGCCACCCACACCGACTCCGGAACTCCCGCGTACTATCCGCGCTACCGCCCCCAACTACCCCCAAACTGGGGGTAGTGGTATGATTCATCTTTTTCACGAGCATACCAGGTGACGTGTGACTACCCCCAAATCGCCCAGTCAAATCCACTACCCCCAAACCGCGCGTTTTGGGACTCACAACCCCCAAAACGGGGGACGAGGCGGTCCCTCCAACGCGACTGATCAAAGCAGCAAACCAAACTGGCTGCCAAGAAAGCAAAGCTTTGATGTTCACCTTAAACAAAGATACTGGCGCAAAACAAGCGTTGATGTTCACAAGTTTGAACGTCAAAACTGATAGCAGCGAACCCGCATGAAACACATGCCGCAGCTCCAGAATTACCTGGTTTCTGCAGCAGCCAAATATGCACAAATTGAGGCGCCCTCGTATAACCCTTATATAACCCTTTCCTAACCCTTATATAACCTGTATATATCCATTGGCTTCTGGGGGTGGGTAGTCAATGTAGTCTTAGAGAAATCCAGACGCACCACGAAATGCAACCATGGTTGAAACCATTGCATTTGTTGGTATTTACAGGACAAATCGAATCATTCCAGGGTTTCGTTGGTGCAGGATTTTGTCCGTCCACAGTCGGGGGTCTTGCTTTGGACTTCCCTTTAGACTAACCTGGAAAGGGTTCCCTTCCAAAAACCAAAGCTACATAGCTCGGTGGCACTGCAAAGGAAACGTTTCTGACAAGCTGGGAACTGCGCATGCCTTCCTGGATGGCATTGAGAACTAGGAGGGGCTCAAATAGCTGCGCTTACCTATCGAAAGAAGGTGTCGCACGAGTGGCACCTTCTCTTCCAAGAAGCGCTTGGCATCTTCAGGATAAATGCGCATCTTCAGGATAATTTGCCACCTATTTTGATGTTCACCAGGGGTACGATTTTGGTTTTGACAACCACAGCCATTTCTAGTTTTCCACCTTTCTTTTTCCGGTAAGGCCGGTTGAACACCTGAGGGGTGCCTAGGCTGGCGGGCAGGTAGATCGGATCTGGGCGCCCCAGCGGCAGGCAGGCAGACAGCTGCAGCGACGCACCGCAGGGCTCGTCGGGCACACAGGTCTGGGCGAAAACGGGGAGCTAAGGGAAAACGAACAGTGGTGTGCATTGCCGCTTGTTGTTCTTATTTCGTTTTTTTTCTTTACTGTCTTCTTCTTTTTCTTTTTTCCTTTCTTTGTCTTCCTCTTTTTTTTCGTTTAAATGAAAACCCGTTGGGTCTTTTGTAGGGTTCTTTGTGAAAAAGACATTTTTTTTGGTGAGGATTCCCAACCCAAATCCGAAAACCGTGGAACACCACAACACCGCTAGAATCTGGCAGAAGAACACAAGCTTGAGTTCAACAGAAAACCCGAGGGCGGTTTCCGCTGATGGTCATGAACATTCAGCCATCGTTGGAATACTGATTTATTCTCCCACTGTCTCAAACGGAGGCTCCAACTTTACAGTTCGCACATCCACTTGGCCAAGACTTAAGTGCTTGCCTCAAATGCCGTAGCTTCATAATATTGGTACAAGGGTGTGAATGTTAATTCGGGGCACATCATTTACCAGGGGATATATGTTCACCCACTGCTTTGCAGGGTATCCATACTGTCCAAGCGGCGGCTCTTTCTGTTGGGATGACACAGCCATGACACAGCATACAAAGGATGAACATGTTTTTGTTCAGGCGAGAATTCATAAAGACAAGTCTCACTTAACCTGGATTATCCTTCTTTGGTGGCTCTTCAACCGGACCTACAAAAGTTCCCTCAAAGGATGCACACCTGCATACTGAATGCGGTCGCGCCCAGCGCCCACATTGCAGCACTTCGAACAGTACTCCCTTGCACTGAAACGTCAGCGCTGCGCAGACTGCGCATCACCTTTGTTTTCTAGCCTTTGATCTCTTCAAAAAGAAAGCCGACAAGGCTACCCTCAAAAAACACACACCCATATGAGATACATATTCGATTCGCCCTTGCCAAGGCAACCGGCTCCAAACAAACTCTGTATGTGAGGTGTAGACATATAATAATGGTTTCCGTGGTTGTCCATGCCAACTGCAAGTAAAGGGGCCTGCTAACCATTGCACATTTGTCACACCCTAAACCACCCAGCAGCTTTTGCTCGCGTCTTAATCTGAACCGGTCGAAGCAAGTCCCAGTGTTGGGTTCGCAAATGTCCCCTAAAAACATGACACGGGAGCTTGGTCCATTTCACATGGCAACAAACAACACCCAAGGGGAATTTCCGCAAAAAGGGAGTTGCATAAATGTATAAAAAGGACCTAATGGAACCCTGCATGGGTCTTGAATGGCGTTGGCCGGTTTTGCCTGCCATCAGTGAGCTTGTCCGATCTGCCGCAAAAAGACATTCTGTTCGCTCGTTGAAAAAGGAACATGCAGGAATGCCAAATAGTTGTCAAACACAGGTGGAAAGGGAGGCAACATCTGGCAATGCACGGACCTTGACACAACGTGAAGTCCAACACAAGGACCACGACTCACTTCTCCGTGCATTCTTCCCGCCTCCTGGGGAGTGCCTACGTAGCCATCCGCACAGATCCAATCCCCGGTGCCATTGAAGCGAGCATAGCCTGGCGCTCTCAAGCGGAAAAAACAAGCAAGAAAAAGGAAATGGGTGTGGCTCAAAATAGGGGGCGGACCCCTTCTTGGATGGATTTTTACAGGAAACCAAGCGGAAACCCCAATTTTGAGAGAAAAAAACACAGTGCACCTTCTATTGCAATGGGTGCTTTTGTTTCAAAGAACCCCAAGGGTACAAGAACCACCTCAAAGAAGTCACCACATGATGCCCCTCCTACCACTTAGGATCAGGATCCAGCAACTCACCATCTGGACGGATTCACTTGGCTCTCCTTCTCGGTTCAACCAGAGTTTTTGAGGGGTACGCCGCAGTCACGAGTCCAAGCAGCCAGCCCTGAACTAGCCAAGAAGGAAACACTGGCACGGTTGTGGCGCAAATCCCTTTTGCGATACCAAGGTAGGTACCAGGGCTCTGTATCACTTTCAAGAAAATCTTCTGGGTGTCACAGAAAGTGATCCCAATTTCCAAGTTTCCCCAACCATGAACTCAGGCAGAATTGGAGAAGTGAGATTCAATCCAAACAACTTTACTTGCTTGAGAAGGGCAGATTTAGTTTATTCACTTTGGGGGTTGTCAAAATCGCGGGCACCTGATCTGCTAGCAAACGCCTACATAAAGCGAGCAAAGCAAGACGGAAATAAGTAGGTGTATGGCTCATAGATGGCCCACCTACCCACCCACCTACCCATCCACCTACCTACCCACCCACGCCCTCCCGCCCGAGCCCCCGCACTCGCGCACACATGTTCTTCGCCTATGGTCAGCTTTCCGCCATGGGGTTTCGTTGGGGGCCCCGGACCCTCATGCCTGTGCATCCATCTCCCTCCCATCGGCTCACGCACCTGTCGGCCACTCTTCAGGTTCGTAGCACCCGTCCGTTGGGAATGTCCTGAACCAAGACGTGCGTGGCTCCATTGGGACTGGGCTACATGGCCAAGCTTCCCTCAACTTACAATTGAGACTGTCTTGAGTAAATCGCAGGAATATCTGCAATTGGCAATGACATGTCAGTAATATGTGTTGCAAGCTGATGCTTGAATTGACATTTGTTTGCCGTTGAAAGTATGCGCCCTTTTCTGAGCTCGGCCTCTCTGCCAGGGTTAAGCCTTTGTGAGATTGCACTGGCTTGACGAATCTCTCAAACACATCACTTTGTTGATCCAAGGGATTCCAGGGCGGCCAGCCACATTCGTGATTGAAGCTGGATTTTTTGTAGCCTGCGAGCCGCCTTAATACATATATTTCCTCTGCGCACGTCATGTTTTCATGATTGGATCCTTTCTGACATGTTGCAACTTGGCATCTTTGGGCATTCTGAACAGGCGTGCAGCCCGCTATGTGTTTGGCAATGGCAGAATTCTCGAGATTGCTGCCGTGGCGACTGCTCTTGGCGGCCGAGGCGGCCAAACAACGAACCACCGCTTCTTTGCTCGCCTTGCGCCCGGATTGAGCCAACATCAGCCCTGACAAGTCCCACCACTTGTGGATGAAACCCGACTTGAATAGTGGTTGAAGCAAATCGAAATCCAGGTCGCAATGGCTCACCAACCGAGACGTAGAGGCCCACATCCCCCGCCTCTGGCAGGAAGGCGGCTCATCAAAGTCCAAGGGCCTGGCAAGATCGGCTTCACCCGGCTCAAAGTCGGCTTCTTCGCACCCAGCTGATTGCTCAGCTCTGGACACCTTCTTTGAGGGGTCCCCTTTTGGGCTTAAGGGAAGCCACAGAGAAACCAGCCCTTGGGCTTTCGGCTGAACACCAAAGAGCCTCTCTTGAGCGGTTCCCGATCCGCTGGAGGCAGAATGAAAGCATGAGACGATACCCTGGCATACTGCTAACATACCCCAAACAGAAGTTCACCCCCGTAAGCCAAAATAGCCCAGTGGATTCCATGAAAAGAAGAGTGGCTGAGTGGTTTCGAGTTTTGAGAGAACAAGTATCCAAGCTCAAACGATCTTCCCAGGGAGAATAAAGTCCGTGCACGTGGAGTGAGTTGATTTTGAAGGGATCTTCCCCTTCCCAACAACAAGCTGGACACAAGATGGGATCTACCGGTTTGCCACTAAGATCGAGGTGTCTTGCTGATGAGGGAGCCAGCCCTTGTGGTCCTACTAAAGTGGATTCCAAGGTTTGCCAAGAATCCCTTTTGATTGCCTACCCGGATGCCACAGAAAACAAAGAACAAAAACAGATCTTGGCTTTCCTTTTGGTGTCCCTTCAAAGCCACCCAAAATTTGGGGCACCCTCAAAAGCAGACCAGCCGCCCACACAGAACCCACGCGCCGTTCTTTTTTTCCCCTCCCAGGCGGGCGCTCGGCGCGTGAAGCGGGAGTAGCTGCCCAGCCGGCGCTCCCGGAAGGTGATGATCCTCGCACGATGCGTGGAAGGCGCCCAGTGTTAAATTCATGGGTGACCCTACAGGTCCTTCCCGCCTTCCCAAGATAGCAAATATATTTTACTAATGTGTTGCCACTATCTTGCTGAACATGTTCACTTTATTCAGTATATTTGTTTGGATATACCTGGGGGGGGAAACGTAATTTCATCATGAAGTGCTGGCCCCATTCTACCAGGATCAAAGTCACTTACGTGGGTCTGGCTAGAGGGAAATTGCCGAAGTGTCTGACTTTAACCCCCGGACTTGGTCAAGTTGTGACCCCAGTGGTCAGTAGGTTATAACCTCCGGGTCGGAAATAGACCCATTTCCGAACCACGGATGTAACCTTAGAGGGTTGCACATTCAAGCGGGTTGTTGTAGACCCACGGGCCCTAAAACAGTTGCTAGAACCGAGGGATGCTTGCAAGGAATCTGAGAACCTTTCTGGACTCTGGACGGTAGGGAGGCCCTATATAAGGTTTCTCATTGGGAAGCATTGGAGAGCGGATGCTGGAGCTCAAAGCAAAGCAAACCAAACCCAAAAATACAATGGGCTGCCTGATGGCGTGATTTTCAGGGGCATGGTATTCTTAGATCGAATTTCTGCCATCAAGGAAAGCAATCTCCAGTGGCCGTGGATTCCAGCAAGTATCTCAGATCAAACAAGCTGAAAGCTGCATCTGTCTGATGCTGCTGATTTTGTCCTCTTCTTCTTGCCTCTGTACCAACTGCCAAGTTTTTTTCTTTGCTGCCAATCCGTTCCATTTGCAGCGCTGAACAAGGGAAAATCACAACGGTACTCAGCCAAAGAGGAGGAAGGCATAAAATGGGCAGCCCAAAGCTGTGCGGCAGTTCTTGCTCCAACGAATCAATTCCGTCCAGATCATAATGGCCTTCATGAAACGGTTAACATTTCCAAAACAAGACATGAGATGAATGTTTTACCAGTGTTCCAATGCTTTACCCATATATTCCATCAAGAACCGACCGGAAATACCAAAACAGCGTCCTGATTTCAGAAAACACCCACCTGGGTATGTATCAAAATATGGAACACCACATGGCGCTGGGCTTTCTGTTCCAAGCCAAGCTGAGAAGGGCACCCTCACAAAACACACACCCATTTGAGCGGTGCCCACAACCTATTTTTGGACAAACAAACAAGCGGGGATACGGAGGGAGCAGGGATTCCCCCGGCGCCATTCCCATATCAAACTGCATTTAGGGGGAATCCTCCCGTATGCCTGGTTCCCCCTGTATCCCTGCTAGTTGGTTTCCCTGACTATTGACTGTTGGTTGTACGGAGCGCGGTTGCAACGCCTTGGCTATGCCCTTCGGCGCTTTGCAGGAACCATCCAAGCTTCGGCTCATCCACACCCGGTACCAAAGGCCGCAGCAAAGCATCTGGATGGGGCCTCACATATAGCACGTCCCCTTGGGACTCCAAATGCGTGCGTACGAGGGCAGGTCCAAAACCGTTTCCCCATGGGCGCTGAAGAGGGGAAGCCCCAAGAAGCGGGCAAGCTCCTTTCAGCTGCTGCACCATCTACAAGGGGGTCCCATGTTTTTGGAGTCGACGATAGATTAAACAAAAGGGGATTCCGATCAGGAAGGCTCGTTGGTTGCCTCCCAACAAACCAAAACCTCATGCTCTTTCAGGGGTAACCAAAAAGCAGCTCCTGACAGTAAGCAGTTGCAACCGCCCACCGAATGAATGTGATGTGGAACTCCTGGATCCGCTCTGTCGATATGTTCGCACAATGCCACAAGCGCAGAACTCGTCATACACAACACACCCACAAAACGCCCTTCCAGATAAATGGCTGTGGCTCAAAAAACCGGTACCAAAATCAACCCTGGTAAGTGGAACCATGGACCAAAACCTGCGTAACCCCTCCTGTTTAATTTTGAGCCACGCCCAAATGCCTGCATCTCAAACAACCTCGATGGCCCTGGCCGTGCATGGTGCCACCCCCATCCCGAAGCAGAGCACGAGCATGGAGAAACAACGGCACAAAGCACAGCAGCGCCCCTGTCACTGTACAAATGTCCAGCCAACCATCCGCAAAGCTCACTTTAGCTTCAAAGCATCCCCGCCTAGAATATCTGACATCTTTGTGACCTTGCTTTTACCCCACACAGTAGGCAGACCCATGACTGCAGCAATGCTGGCAAGTAGCTGAAAGAAAAAGGTGGCACATAGCCTCGGGTCGTGTGGGCAACATGGCTCTTGCAATCGCAAGAAGCCCTGTTTTGCATGCGTTTTGAACAACTTTTCTGGCGACACTTCGGATCACAAAGTCTCTTTGTGCTCTTGTCAGTCAAGAGTATTTCCATCCATACTTTGCACCTCAAGTCTCCAGGCGAATGGAATGCTTCACGCAACAAATGAAGTGCTCTTTTGAGCTTCGAATCATGTCGCCCGTCATAGCCAAGAGCCTCGCATTTGCATTATTCGAGACCTGATTCCATCCCTTACCTTCTCGCTCTCTTCCCACCTCCTGTTCGAGGGTGGCTGATCGACGGGCAGGAATGCGAAAAGGCAGTTCTTCCTTTGGATTTCGGTGGTTTAGAAACTAGCATTTGTAGGGGTTCATCCATCTCAACCGGGATAATCATGGATTAACATGGATGAAAATGGATATAATATGGATAAACCGCCTACTAAAGTCAACCGCGGTTGGGGCATCCTAGTCATCAGACGAACCCCCTAAAAAAGCTCATGTCCTTACAAGGGAACCACCCCTGATTAGTACGGTCCGGATTGATCCGAATTCAACATTGCTAGGTCCCATGCTTGGAACCTCCAAGATCTAAACATGGTGCGACATGGATCAATGGATAAAATGGGGGTGTCTCAAAATATGGGACCCTTGGATGGTAAGGGGGAACCCAAAGGAAACCAACCACTCGGAGTCCCTAATTTTGAGAAATGTTTCAAATGAAGATCAAACTAGCTGAAATGCATTTTCCGAACTCAATGGATACTGGTTAAACCAACTACGAAATGGATAAACCAACTAACTGGTGCGAAGTGAAAAGATTGATTCTGCTTGCCCTGCCTCGGCTTGTCCATGTCCTCTGCCCGGGTGACTACACGGTGCGCCCCTTTCGCGAAGCGCCTCAGTGCCCAAAATGGGTCGGTCCTTTTCTAGCGGACACCGCAAATTCATTCTGTCCCCTTTGGCTTCCCTTAAACCAGCAAAAGACAGGCACCATCAAAAAGGACACGCCCAAAATGGGGTATTTTCGTGGAACCCCTTTGGTTGCATTTAAAGGGAAACCACTGGAAAAACACACTCATTGTATATGTTTTCCTGACTGAATGCAAGGGGGCAAACCAACCAAAGCCAACCCCACAAAAAAGCAAGCAAGCAAAAAAGCAGGCAGGAAAACCCGCAAGCAGGAAACCAGCAACCAGCAACCAGCAACTCAAAAAACCAACAGAATCAACATTAACAAGCACAACAAGCACAAAGAGCACAACAAACACAACACACACACACACACACAACAAACAAAAACACACCCACAAGCACCAGCACGATAACTACCACGATCATGACCGCGACGACGACCGCACCGACAACGCCAGGAATAGCCAACAAATCATATGTCAGCAATGCAGCGCCGGTGCATCTATCCGAAAAGGAGGGGCAACCATGAGAGTGCCTGGTGACACACATGGCCCCAATCAACCCGCAGTTGATGTAAGGAAGTTTCCCTTGAAGTGAGCAGCGCCCAACACCCAGTGGCTTTTCGTGCCACCAAGAGGTCACCTTTTATGACACCTGCCAAGAACCTACTAACATGGCCCATTGGGGGTTTTGGGGGCGCTGCTCAAGTGGCTTTTGGCCGGCAGTCAACCCAAGGAGCTGAAGGCTAGAGATCCACCTGGAAAGCGGTTACAAAAAAAAAATGTCCTCCACAAAGAGATGCCTGTGCACGTGGATGCATTTCAGCTTGCATTTGTTGCTACAGTACCTTAGCTTTGGCCCCCAAGAAGCAATACAATGCTTGCATCTGGGCCAAATTTAGGGAGATGTTAAATGCTGCTGCGAATAGTTCCTGTCGTGCCACACGGGGGGCATTTTGTTCTTTTCATGAAAGGGAAAACACAATGCCACGAACAGGGGGAAAAACAAAGAAAGCAAACCACACATGAATAGGCAAAGAACACAAGAGAACAACAATCAAACCAAACAAACAAATTCCAAACATCTACTTGCCGCTTGAT